AGCGTGCCCGCCTGTGCGGCACGGCTGGACTCTGCCAATAAAGTGGACCTGGCCGGCGCCTGTCAGCCGCGGGGTCTTGCGCTCTGTGTTGACTGCGACGCTTGTGCCCCTGGGCAGGCCGGGCGGCACTGACTGGTACCAGCCTGTGGGCCCAAGGTGGGGGCGGGAAGTCAGCCCTGGGAGGGCGAGGACGTGGGAATGTGATTGAACCCTATTCACCTGACCCAGCTGTGGGCCTCCCTTTACGTTCCTGTCCAGCCCACCCTCTGGCCCCTACCCATTGACATAGGACCCCCTGATTCCTTTTGCGACAAGGGACAGTATTGGACGACCCCACGGGGTGGGCCTAGGATTCAAGGAACCAGCGCATTTTTCTCCAGTAGGGCACAAGGATGTGATGAGGTGATGCTGGTTGCCCTGATTCCTGCTCTCCCCGGATGGGAAGGTGGTGAGCTCAGGGCCGGGCAGAGGTTGGACACCCTGCTCAGACAGAATGACATAGGCTCCAGGAAGCCAGGACAGAAGGTTTTATGGAAAGGACTGCACAGAATCAGGGCCATACCCACCCCAGCCCACTCAGCTTGTCTCTCTGCTGGTCCTCTCCTCTTACTCCCCACTCTGAGGCGCACATCTGAAGCTCGCTGAGATGGGCTGAAAGACATTCTTCATCCCCTTTCCCCAAAAGAGGTAACAGTCTTCCACTCATTTCCCACCACTCCGTCAACAGATCTCAAAAAGTCCAATCTATTCTCCCTGCCCAGAAGGGGAACCTGCGGACTCAGGGACCACAGAGCCTTCCGTTGGCTAAAAGGGGGTATGAACGTTAGGACCTGGTGCTGAGCACCTCCTTGGTTCCTGGAAGTCCCAGACAGCCAGGGCACTTAGTGGTCTTGACCCCGAGGTAGCCTCCTTTTCTGCATCTCTTAAACACTTCTCAACCCTGATCCCTGACCTCAACCACTGCCTGCAAGACCTGCCCTTAACTGTGCCTGCTGCTTGGGACCCAGGACCTGGATTCCTAGCCTGTCGGGGTCCAGGGAACAAGATAGGGTAGGGTCAGTAGAGGGAGGGGTTTAGCCCAGAGATCTGAACATGGTGGGCAGAATCAGGTACTAGGTGGAAGCCCTTTGCCAGGGTGGGTCTGGGTTGGGAAGAGGGAGGGGAGAGAGAAATGGAGGTGAGAGGGGCAGGTCAGGGGGAGGGGTTATGGACTGAGGCCCAGAGTACCAATGAAGGGGGCTGGCCCTGGGGGCAGAAACCCTTGCACAGGTCCCAAAGTGTTTCCTGTGCCAGGAGGATGAAGACCTGGGCCCAGCGACCCCTCTCCTCAGCCTCACTAGCTGCATGGAGCCGGTAGACACAGGACAGGCCTGTAAGGAGCAGGTGTTCAAAGTCCCAAGGGCTAAGAGGAGGCCCCTTCCGCAGGTCTTGGAACTGCTGCAGCCGCTGCTCAGCACCCTGTAAGTCGCTGGGCACATGGTACTGCAGGAGGAGCCTGAGACGGCGGCCTGGACGTGTGGACGCTAGCTCCTCGTCCTGGATGTGCAGTTGCCCTGTGACATCCAGCTCCAGCCCAGCCCAGAGCAGCTGTAAGAGGAGCCATGTAAGGGGTGGGCCAGGGCCTGCAGAGCAGAGCAGGGAGCAAGTGGGCTGCGTGGGAGGGAGAGCAAAAGCAGGAGGTCGGACCCATGCTGGGCTGTCTTCCCACCCCCACAGACTCCCCTGAGGCATCCCCCTTCCCAACCCTAAACTTAGGGACTTCTGAACACTCCCACCCCCATGTCCCAGGCTGGGAGGAAAGACCTCAAACATCACTTCCAGGGCCTCTGGTTCCTGCAGGCCACCTCCCACGTTGGTGCTGTCCATGGGCTGCCCTGGGGCAGTAGAGAAGAGTGAGGCCCTTGCCATGCTCCACCACACCCTGATTCCCTCCCCCCAGCAGCTCTGCTCATGTGCCTTCCACACACCACAGTGCCAGCTTCCCAAATGTGGGCTGCTCCAGTCTCCCAGAAGTGCCTCTCAGACCCTAGGGATTTCTAGAGGTTCTAGCCACAAAAGGGCAGAAATACCCTCCCTTCTTCCCCACATGCATGCACATATATGTTGACATGCACCCTCCCAGGCACAGCTCTTGTGATCCCCAAAGCATCATCCATTATAGGCAAAGGCCCAGGACTCCTCCTCAACTTGCACAATGCCCTTGGTAAAGAGCTCTGGGCCAAATGGTCACAAGATTCTTCCCTTCCCATGTCCCCTCCCTTTAATATCTAGCAATAGTGTGACCAAAAATAATGCCAGTGACCCTCCCAGGAGGATAAAGACCTCTGTGAAGAGCTACTGCTTCCCTGCTCCTGCTCTGTACTGCATTGTGTGTGAGGTGGGGAGCTTCCTCCATCCTTCACCCCGGGTTGTTGCCTAGCGCTGCTAATGACCATTCAAAGCCCAGGGCAGCTCAAGGGACCATGCTTTGGACATCAGCTGAGAATAAGGAGCAGCATTAAGAGCACTCAGGGCTTGCTCTCTAGGCATCACCTGGACCTTTCAGTGGATGGGGTCTACACCATTATCCACTACAGCCCATCTGCCTGGTCCCTGCCATGCCCACAGTCCCTATGCCCTGCTAGGCCATCTAACTACCAGGTAGCAGCCAGCCTTGGCTCCTGTGCACCCACCCGGAGGCCCTGGTACCTGCATAGTAGTGGGTTGCAGTCATCTCAGGGAGAAGGAGACAAATGGCTACCATGGGACAAGCCAGGAGCTGCAGCGTCCCAGCCATGCTGCACCACATCCCGATTCTCTCTCCCCAGCAGCTCTGCTCCATGTGCCTTCAGCACAGCTCCAACTTTCCACTGCGGGCTGCTCCAGCGTTCCGTTCCGTTATGTGTCAGGCTTCAGTGTTGAGCAGGGAGGGGCTGGCTGTGGCAGTCACTCCCTGGGACTTTCCATCCCTTAGAAATGTGGAATCTTGGTTGTTGGCAGTAGGGACCTGGCTCCTTGTTCTTCAGGCCCTCAGACCTTTCCTGCCCAGATGGGCAGGATGCTTAGTGATAGGAAAGAGGTGTTTGGTAGCAAACAGCTTTAGCGTGGCCTGTGGTGTAAGAGAGTACATGCAGTAACACTATCTGTCCCTACCCTTAAAACACCCTGCAACTGTGGGAAGCCCCAGTGCCTAGCCTAGCCCACCCTAGCCAGCTAAGAGAATTGGCTGTGGCTTCCTGGGCATGGAGGGTGGGTGGGTGTGCAGGCAGGTCAGGTGGGAGCTGTGGACAAGTAGAGCAAAGCACTCATCCAGGCGCTCAGTCTTAGGCGGAATAGCCCTAGACCAGCCGGTATAGGGAATACGTCCCTTAGAGATGGATGAATCTGCAGCTCCTAAGGAATTTTTATTTTATTTATTTATTTTTCAATTTGACCAGAGGGAGAGAAACAAACGGGGAGGTCACGGTGCGCGAGCCGTAGCAGGCTGTGAGTCCAGCGCCTCAATCACCATGCCACCTGCTAGTCCCGAGTTTTTTGGTTTTGTCCCCCACCCCCAGCCTTGAGATCTCCTTTACTTGCTAACATTCTCTGCTCAGGTCCGAATCCAGATTTATTTAGCACAGCTGTGATGGCTGTCAGGCTTCAGTGAGCAGGAGACGAAGTTCAAGACTTGGGAAATGGGAACCAGCAGTTAGCGTAATGGCTATGTCGCTGGACTCCCACGTAGTCGACTGCGGTTCGTGTCCCGGACCCGGTGGCTTAAAACTCACGCTGGACGCGTGTGCGTACGTGCCCAAGATCCCGAGAGGAGAATGGAGGAGAAGGGATTGCGGCGTGACCATCCCCCCTGGGGGGTGATTTCTCGCTTTCTGTCTCTGTGTCTCTGTCTGTCTGGCGAGCGCACGCGCCCTACAGTGAAAATCTCTCCAAAAAAAAAAAAAGACTTGGGAAATGAGGGGAGGTTCTTCCTGGCTGTTGGCTCATGGAACCCTGTGGATGTCTGGGTGGGATGAGAGTGAATAGGGATTTCCCTGGTACTACCCAGGCCCCTGGATCCAGCAGCTGCTAATGGTCTGCTGTGACAGGGTACTTTCTCCAGCGGTTGTTGGGACCCTTCCAGTTCTCATTGGAATCCATGTCACACCCATCCTGAGCCCTGTGAGCTGTGAGAACTTTCAATCAATTCAGCTCCAGAATCCTTTGTAGAAAGACATTCAGGTCTCAGGCCAGGAAGTGGCATGAAGTTAGGGTGGCTGGATCCCACATGGCCAACTGAATAGTTCAAGTCCTGGACTTGGCAGCTTAATAAACATGCCTGATGTGTGGGCATGCATGCCCCAAATCCTGAGAGTACAGAGAAGGGATTATGGTGGGACTATCCCCCTGGAGGGGTGACTTCTCACTCAGTGTTTCTCTCTCTCTGGTGGGTGCATGTGCTCTGTAGCAAAAAGAAAAAAAAATCCAGGCCTACAGATCACTATGTCTGTTTACTCAGTGCCACTGAAGTAAGACGCCCTGGGCTGGCCGGGTGCCTAGTGGTTGGGGGAGTTAGATCCCACGTGGCCAACTACAGTTTGAATGCTGGCCTGAGTGGTTTGGAAACATGTTAGACATGTGTGCACCCCAAATCCCAACAGAATAGGGAAATGGAGAAGGGACTGCAGTGTTGCCATGCCCTACTACTGGAGGTGCTTTTTCCCCCCCCGTTTCTTTCAAGTGGATGTACTCTTTGGCAATTCAAAAGAAAACAGATTTTCCCTCTCTTTAAGGAAGCAGGGAAACACTTCTGCCTATTATAAGCACACAGGAAATGATGAGACTAAGTAGGAATTTATTTACAGACACTCATTTATAGATAAAGCACTTTCCAGGTTCCACACGCCTCCCAGGAGCTACTTGGCTTCAGGCTTCTTGTCTCCGGCTTCAAGCTTAAGACTCTCAGGGGGCTGGCGATAGGCAGGGAAAGCCTCCCAGGGGCTGTTCAGGTCAAATTTGCGGAACTCTTGGGCCAACTCCAGTGGCTCGGCCACCACACGCTTCACCTCATCATCGTAGCGTAACTGCAGGAATAAACACAGGCCTGAGCACTGAGGAAGGCCTATAGCCACTATGGAGCCCATTTTCACAAAGCCATTAGGTGACTTCCCAGCCGCTGTCCCTCTGTCCTTGACTCCTATCCCAGCCTCTTCCCAGGCTCTGTCATAAGTGTCCATCCATATCTGTTACCATCGGATCATATCCCAACCAGCTATGGGTGGATTCCCAGGGGGCCCCAACCACTCATGCCTGAGGGCACTGGCCAGACTCCCTGCCCAGCATCAAATTAGGAGCTCTGAAGCCCTCTCCAGCAGGGTAACTGCTCACCATGCACACACTCTTATAAAATAATGGTAAGCACCTGTCTAGCGTTAGGGACAGTCAGTGGCTGGAAAGAGAGAACCTAGTGGGAACACACACAAGTTTAGGTCCTATGGCTTTGGCATTTTCACCGTCAAGATCTGGCATGGCTTTTCTTGTTCATGGGGGATCAGTTGGACAAGGTGAGGATAATCGGGTACTGGGTGAAGAGGCAACCAAGTTGAACAAACAGGAGTGAGAGGAGAGGAGGAAGCAGCCCTGACCAGAAGTTGCTTGAGAGAAAAACAGGAGCATGCAAAGCACTAAAAAAAACCAGAAGTGTTTGGGCAGATAGAGGAGGGCTAGAGCACCACAGATCTCAACTTCTTTTTTTGGAGAGGTTTTTGCTATAGGGTTTGTGCACTCGCCAAACAGACAGAGACAGAGACAGAGAGACAGAAAGCAAGAAATCACCCCCCTGGGGGGATGGCCACACCGCAATCTCTTTTCCTCCATTCTCCTCTCGGGATCTTGGGCACACGCACACACACGCGCCTGGCATGAATTTAAGTCACCCGGTCCAGGACTTAAACCGCGGTCGACTACGTGGGAGTCCAGCAACATAGCCATTATGCAACTGCTGGTCCCAATGGCCTTTTTCTTTTTAAAGAGAGAAAGTAGGGATGAGGGAGAATGAGAATGAAAGGTATTTTTGAGTTTCTCCATGTTGTGATCCTCCTGCTCCAGCCTCCCAGCTAGCAAGGACCATAGCGCGTCTTCCTGCTTGTGCATTCCCTGCTGGGCCTCCGCGGCCATATGGACATTTAGTGTCTGTCCTCTCAAGTACCTCCCCACAGAGCCAGAGAAGGGTAAAATAATCCTCTATTTTTGGGTCTCAGGGGTAGACTATGTCCTCAAAGCGACTTGATCATTAAAATGATAATAATGGTAGCATCAACTGAGCATTTACAAAATACCAGGCTTTACACAGGCATCATTTAATAGTAACTGCAAATTTGTTAAATGCTGTTATTCCTATTTTACAAATGAGGAAACTGAGTTGTAATCAAATTAAGTAACTTGCCCCAGTTACAAAAATGAAGCTAGGATTTGAATCCAGAGTTCATACTCTTAAGTCAGCACAATCTGCAGACCTTACTTTTTAACCATCTCCCAGGTTCCCTGCCAGTGCCGCCCTGAGGCTGTGATCCCAGTTCCAAGACTCCTACCTCAACATAGCCAGAGAGGGGGAAATCTTTCCGGAAAGGATGTCCCTCAAAGCCATAATCTGTCAGAATCCTTCTTAGGTCAGGGTGGTTGGCGAAGAAGACTCCAAACATGTCCCAGATCTAGAAAAGAAAGGCCCTTGGACGATACATGCACCAGGGCCAACAACAGGGTGAAGGGCCACACCACACCCTGCATTTCAACCAATTCTGCAACTCTAGCTGAGAGGCAGGGCCCACTGAGCCCAGTAACTCACCTCCCTCTCATACCAGTTGGCTGCTTTGTGCACAGAGACAGCGGACTCAACAGGCGTCAGCTCATCTGTGTAGGTCTTCACACGGATCCGTGAGTTGAAGCGCAGAGAGAGCAGGTTGTAGACAATCTAGGGAGAACAGAGGGAACTGGAAAACCAGGTGGCCACAGGCCTGAGAGGCCTGGAGTAGGAGTCCCTGGCTGGGAGCATCAGCTGTGTGGATACAGGATGGGTTGGGATTCCACACTGTGACCCTGCTTACATCTCCTCAAGGCCCTGGCTGAAGCTCAGCATGTCAGCTTGTCTGTCTTTACTCATGTCATTCCCTTCAGGTTGGGATTCCACACTGTGACCCTGCTTACAACTCCTCAAGGCCCTGGCTGGAGCTCAGCATGTCAGCATGTCTGTCTTTACTCATGTCATTCCCTTCGTTTGGGATATCCCAGTCATCACTAGGCTAATACCTGATCTCTTGGTCATCTATAAAAACTCTGCACAAACATTCTCTCTTCACAGAAGACTCCCAGACAGAGCTAAGTGTCCCTCCTGTGTTCTTAAAGCCTCCCTCTAACATTATATTAGCGTCTCTCTAGCATTACATTACTACAACAAGCTGTTTATATGTCTCTCTCCCTCACTAGATTGTGTCGGGGGATTCCTAGAGGATAAACTGCATGCTGTTTCTCTTTTGAACCTAGGGTCTGGCAAACAGTAAATGATCAGTAATTTTTTAAAAAAGAATTACTTACTTAATTTATTCATTCATTTATTTTAATTTGGCCAGAGAAAGAGAGAGAAAGAGAGAAAGCAAGCCACCAGGTTTGGGACTCGAACTATGGTTGGCCATGTGGGAGTGTCCAGTGCCCTAGCCACCACGCCACCTGCTGGTCCCCATCAGTAAATATTAACAGCTATAAATGTACTGAGAATTTATTGTGTGCTAGTGGTTTACCTGCATTATCTTACCCTTACAATCACCCTACAGATAGGGACCACTTCATACCTATCTTGCAGATGAGAAAGCTAAAACTCAGATTAAGCAAAATGTCTTGAGGATATGTAGTCCATGAGTGGCACAGCAATGACACAAACTCAAGGTCTACTTGATTCTGAAGTCCCAGTTTAACTGCTGAGTTCTATTGCTGAAACTAAGGAGACTATGGTCCCTGTAGGTACTTGTCACCCCAAAACTGCTTTGTCCTCTTTGCTATTTAATCTTCCTTATCTCCTCAAATCTCCTGACCTCAAAACGGTTCTGCCGCGTTGGGATGTCCACTGCTGTCAAGTCAGCCAAGGATTTGAACTGTGCGTTGGTGTGATCCCTGAGGAAAGTCAGCACGGGGATGACTCCGTCAGGATGGATGCAGATCTCTAGCTCATTGAAGCAGGACACCTGCGGTCAGGGAGAAGGAACCAATTGCGACCGAGGGAACAGTCAATGTCGGCTGGGGTCAGCTGGTATAAAGCAGAGAAAATAGTCCAACTTTGGGATAGAAGAGAGTGCTTTCTTTGAAGCCATGCCCTGAGAACATGGCTCTTTCCTTTTTTTTTTTTTTTTTTTTTGAGAGGTTTTTTGCTATAGGGCGCGTGCGCTCGCCAGACAGAGACAGAAAGTGAGAAATCACCCCCCAGGGGGGATGGCCACGCCACAATCCCTTCTCCTCCATTCTCCTCTCAGGATCTTGGGCACGCACGCACACGCGCCCGGCCTGAGTCTAAGCCACCAGGTCATGGCTCTTTCCTTTTTTTTTTTTTTTTTTTTTGAGAGGTTTTTTGCTATAGGGCGCGTGCGCTCGCCAGACAGAGACAGAAAGTGAGAAATCACCCCCCAGGGGGGATGGCCACGCCACAATCCCTTCTCCTCCATTCTCCTCTCAGGATCTTGGGCACGCACGCACACGCGCCCGGCCTGAGTCTAAGCCACCAGGTCCGGGACGGAGTCCAGCGACACAGCCATTATGCTAACTGCTGGTCCCGCTCTTTCCTTCTTTTTTATTTAACTTTATTTACTTATTTAAATTTGCCGAGAGGGACAGAGTGAGAGAGTGAGAGAGAGAAAGCAAGCTGCCAGGTCCAGGATTCGAACCGCAGTTGGCCATGTGGGAGTCCAGCACCCTTAATCACC